GGGTGTTTCTTCATGTAGCCTCAGTGATTCTGTGAGAAACTGAAGTGGATGTTTTATTTCAGAATTAGTTCGTTCATTCCATCATCACATTTTAATTGAACTTGTACTTTGTGCAAGGCTTTGTTGTAGGTAATGGGGATACAGAGAAGAAAGACACAGTCCTGCCCTTGAGGAGCTCACAGTCTAGTGGGGGAAACAGATACATTGACACTGACTTTAAAATTATAAAAATCATTAGACAACTTTATAAACTTCTTTTGTAATCAAAACAAACTTTGGGTGTTACGAATGGATGGTGAAAAGGGATGATGTCCAATGCAGTGAAAAACCATCTGCTTCAATATCATGTGACTTCTGCAAAGGCGGTGATGTGGTTCTGCAAACAGAAAAAGAAATTACAAAGTCAGGGTTTGGGGAAATTTGACTTTGCAAAATAGTGAGTGCTTTTACAAAACATCGTTAGCCTAATACAAAGCCGTAGCTCACGTATGTTTACGTTGCAAAAACATACAGCGTTATTAAACTAAGTTCTATGTACTACTACATAAATTTAGCTGCCAATTATGTATTTTATTCAATATTCTTAATTAACCAAATAGGTTAAAATGTTGTACCTGCTTTATGCAAAATTAACACTGAAATTTGGAGGAATAAAAGCGGTAATGCCAGACACGTTAATATTCTGCTCAGTGTTAATGGAATTCTAATGCTAGCATGTTGGAGCTTTAGATTAATTGCTCCCTGTGAGACAGATGGCACAGAATGAAGTGGTGAAATGCTCATACTGAAATGGCATTTGCTAGTTGACAAAGACCTACTCAAATATTTCATTTGTGATGCTGGTACCCAGACTACAGACTGAAATCTGTGTGGTCTACCTCAACCACAGAATTCTTCACAGAGCCCTTTTACATTTTTTCCTTTAAAGCAACAGAATTGAGTACAAAGAAATCCTGTGGAATGACTAATATTTAAATGGATTCAGACATGCAACAGGCCGTATCATGGCTGCTGAAATACTGCAGTGAAAAATGGATATGACTTAATCATGACATATACAGTGTTACATCAAGATCTAACAAAAGTGACAGCCCCAGTGAATAACAGCAGCATTACAAAAGGGTTTTATCTTTTTACCTGTTTCAAATGTTTGTCATAGTAGTTTCATATTGACTCTTTATAAATCAAAAACATAAATAGAATCTCATGTAATGAATGCATGCCATGAGATTTCTCCCATGTACATGAGCTCTTTTCAAGTTAAAATATAAAATGTTTAACTAGTTAAAACGTTTAAAAAATGCACGTGAAGAAATTAAATTGGTTTTCACTGAATTTAAGCATAGGAAGCAACAACTAGGAGGATATCACTGACTACTGCTTGCGACATTATTTTCTAGGTTTGACCCATTTAAACTTGGAGAAAAACAGTATCATTAAAAGTGAGTAGTGAGCAGAGCATGTTGACTTTTTCAGTAACTCCAGATAAGACCTTAGAAACTTTAAATTCCCATTTAAAAAATACGTGATGAAAATGTTAGGAAATTCAGCTCATCATCTCTACGTTTTCTTGATTTCTTATTACAAAAGTGCAAGCATGACTTTAGGACAAAAAAGACTTGTCAGAGTGACATAATGCACTATGATTGAATAAAAGCCATAAGAACTGTAGAAACAGTACATTGTAGTTTTATTTCCAGTGGCCCCGTGAGGACTTGAAATCTGTGAACTGAGAAAATAAATTTGATATACAGTGTTTCAGTGCAAAACTGACAGGAATGTTACACCTCCGAATGGGACCTAGCAGACAGTAATTGCTGGAAAAGTGTTAAGATATAAATTGAAGATTAACCATCAGTGGCAACCGGGGTGGGAGGGGGTGGGTGCTAGATAAAAGGTGAAAATGTGACAGTATAAAAAAAAACAACAACAGAAAGAAAAAGAGATAAAAAGAAAGTAAAAATGAAAATGGATGGGGGCGTTCCAAAGGCCATTGACCTGGGTATCAGTGTTCCCTTGACCTAGGTAATGAAGTGTCCACAAGGCTCATTAAATTTGCTGAAGATGATCCTAAGTGAAGGGGACAACCATCACTTTGGAAGGGAGAAGAAAAATATTTAAAAATCATAATAAATCAGAGAAAGTATCAGAAACGAATCACTGATAATCAGTGCAAGGCAGGACAGAAGCAGAAGTAAAAGCAAGCGACCAAAAATATTCAATGACTTAGGGCGACCATGTAAATTATCATCTAAGCCCATATATATTGAGGGGAAAAAGGCATGCTAATTTTATACACAGACAACAGGCTTAAACTGAGACTGTCCCAAATAGGGGCATAATGTCATCTTAGAAATAAGGCTTTGAACATATAACTTTAAGTGTGCTATTGGGTAAAAATTGGATTCAGTCCTGGTATTTAAAATAATGTTTTAGTGGCCAATGGGTTTCCCTTTCTCTTCCCATAAATTACAAATACTATTACCCTCTTCCGTATGCTAAGTCATTACCAAGTTAAATTACAGGATAACAGTATTTCCAGATTGACTACAGTTTTAAGTTCCAGGGCTCTGGGGAAATGCCTTCTTTTTTTTGATTAGCACCCTTTCTGTTTTATATCACATTAAGTTTTAACCTCTGAGATAACTTTTCTATTTGAATAGAATAAAAAGGGTCCTGCTTGGGGCTTATCATTTAAGGGTGGTCATTAGTAGAGAAATAAACAAATGAAAATAAAATATTGGTATGGCTGTGCATAGAGAAGAGGAATTTAAAGAGGAAATTTAATACGAGGTTCTAAGTGCATGGAAGGAGTATGCAGATAGCACAGGGGCCATCTGTTCATTAATTTCACTGTCAAGAGCAAATGAACCCACACCACAGAATGAAAGAGATGGAGTATTTATCTCAGTTGACTTTTTAAAATGGTATTAATTCTCTTCTAGGATAGGGGTAGCTTTCCCTGAAGGAATCTGGAGGAAGGACAAGCTAATTACTCAAGTTTCTAGCCATCTATAAGACTCCATCATTCTATATTATAACAATTACATTGACAAAGTATGTGAATGTATAATTTGTACTATCCAGATGGCATAATTCCTATTCAAGAAGTGTTCACTTTCCCATCAGCATTTTTCTCAATTATTATAAAACTAGAATTGCATTTAATATTTTCATATCACCTGTCTTGAAGAATGGACTCCTTGTGATGCAAATCGGGTTACAAGGCTGAATTCTTAATATGTAATAGTAAGTCTATGTGGTAGATGATAGTGCAAACACACAGTAGGCAAACCAAAAACTCATGCATAAAAGTTTAATTCAGAGTCACAAGAAAAATGTAGTTATATAATTCATCAGTACAGTTACTGGTGTCTTCCACAATTACACATACAGAAGTTTAGAGTGGAGATATCAGAACTTGAGCCCAAAGAGTTAAAAATAAGAAAATTCTACAGCCATTAGAAAGTGTTCATTCAAAGTCCACAGCACGTCAGTGAGCAAAATACTGAATCCAGTCCTTGAGTGCAGAGTTCCTGTTTAAAACGAGCACTTTTTTTCTGAAAAGTAGTTTTAGATTCTTAAATTTGGTAAATCCTATTATTATAATATAAAATGCGAATTTTTGAAGCTCTACATGAAAGTTCTACATGAAAATCTTTACTCTTTATTTTATATCTCCATTTGCAGAAAACATATTCTGTAATTAAAAAGAAAAACTTTTAAAAGCAAAATTGTCATGCATTTATGACATGAAAAATTTGTGACAACTTGCCACCTCACATGATGTGCCACTCACCATTTCCCTTAGGGGGGGAAAAAAAAGACAAATGTAAAAAGAGCATTTCACATAAGAAAACAAGAAAAGCAATTATCCTGTTAAGGGCTATTTGGTTAGGGGATGCTAAATTCCCACAGTGAAAAGTCAGTAAAAAAAATAAAATACATTTGAAAGATAAATAATAATAAGCACAACAATAACCTAGTACTTAGGTCCCTTTTGGTTGCAGTAGAAACCCGCACAGAAGGACATGTCTTTCTGTATTCGCCTCAGCTCCGCAAGCCAAATCCAACCCCAGTGCGCTCTGGCGCACATACGCTTATTGCCTTAACCGAAGGTGTTCACAGCGGCTTATTCCCATTATCCATCCGAAGAGCCTTGCAAGACAGTCTTTAAAGGGCCTTCCCTGTGAATTTTCTTCGTGACCATTCTCAAAAGGTTGGATTCGGGACACCTACAGAATGTATTTTATATATTATTTTAGTGTTTCTTTAAATATTGACTTATTTACTTGGAAAAAGTACCTGTCTATTTAAAGATCTGTGTTGTTATTTTGTTAGACCAAATGCTAAGGTTAAATATTCCTCTAGTTTCTTCCTCTCACGATGATTATAAACAGCTTCTGTGTTTTAATAGGTGGTTGTGAGCAATCTGCTTAGGTTATAATCCAACTTAAAATAAGATCTGTGCATAAAATATCTTTAATTCAATAGTCTTCAATCTATTGGTAAGAAAGCCGTGTGATATAGTGGACTTTGAAGTTGAGCATTTGAATGTAGGCTAATACAACAGAAATTTTCACAAGCAATTTAATCTTTCAAAGACTCAGCTTTATCATCTGTGAAATGAAAGTAATATTACCTATTTAAATGGATTTTTATTAAGATTAAATGAGATTATATGCACAAAGTGCCTTTTACACTCAAACATATTATTGTAGTCATCTATAAAAGCCACAGAAACAAAATAAAAAGTAAAAAACAACAACAAAGAAAGAAAACATAAAAGAAAGAAAGTAACCAAGAAGATTTAAGAAGTAATAATTGGTTGGAATTTCACAATTCTACAAGTCTACAATTCTAATATACAAACAAACTTTTACACTCAAATATTTCTTGTAAGATTGCTACAAAGTCATTTGGTGGCAAAAAACAAATCTGAATCAATGTAAGGCAATTCACACTTGTGCTGAAGAAAGATCCATCTTTGATTACAAATTACTGCTCAAGTCTGTGTTTATGTAATGGAATACCCAGTATTTTCCCTAAAATATAAAATATTTTGAATCCTGAAAAATATCTAACACTAAGGATTTAGGACAAGGAATCGTAGTCATGTAATTAAATCCATCGACCATTCTGATGTTATAAGATACTGCCTACATTTTATCAGGGGAAGGTAGAGGGATATCATAATCCCAAATATTAGCCTTCCTTATTTGCTTTTCACTTCCTTCATCCATTCGTTGTGTCCTCTGAGGAGGGTAAAGTTGGCAGAAGAGACAAGGAGGAAAAGCAGTAGCGCCTGGAGTGTGTGCTCAAATACTCTGTCCCATTAAGTTACAACCTCTGGGTAGTAAAGTGGGTGAGTATTTT